ACTGACCGAAATACATCTGATTGCCTTGTATCGGTCACTCTCTAGACCGATAGAGTGCAAAATACAACTGATGTATTTTCATCGGTTAGTATCTGATCGATAGCTAGACCGATAGAATTCTCACTTAGCAGACTCCTTTCCCTATCGATCACAAGTGATCGATAGGTTGACCGGTGCATTCTGGCTCTACTACTATCGATCACAAGCTGACCGATAGCATGAGCGATAGGGTCTGTATCGGTCTTGTCTTGACCGATACTGTGATCGATAGTAGCCAAAATGCATATGTTCTTTGTCCCTTAGACACTTTTTCAATCCCCAAACCGAAATCCTGCTTCTATACACATCAACTAAGCATAAAAATGAACTAGAAAGCTTAAAATATACAAAGGATACCATGGGACTACCTCCCAAGTGTGCTTGTTTAAAGTCATTAAGCTTGACTTTACTTACCTCACTAGTGGAGGTGATGAGAAGGAGTCTTGGAACTCCTTGGTGTTGCAGTGTCCACTTTGATCTTTCTGATGACTCCATCAATCTTCAACACAGCAAAGGGCTTTGGCTTGTTCCTCCCTTTCATCTTGTAGTGGACTTCACCATTCTTAGAAACAAAGGGCTTCAAGACAACCCCATCTTCTTTGTTACCCAACAGAATCTCATTCATGCAATCAGAAACACCCACTTTGAGGATTCAGTGGTATCAGCAAACAACTTGGTTAAGCAGCAGCCATCAAAACTTGCACCAACATAGCCTTCAAAATTTGGCCAATGCTTCCCAACTTTCTTCAACTTCTTGATCTCCATTGAGAAGGCCTGCTCATTCTCTAGCTTATTTCCTTTGGAGTCAAATCTCAGAACCTTCTCTTTGGTCAGTCTCAGCTCTATTGTGCACTCCTTGGCATCAAACACTGCACCAGCTGAAGCTAAGAAAGGCCTCCCTAGAATGAGTGCGTTTTTGATCTTTCCTTCAACATCTGGGACCAAGAAATCTGTTGGTATGACTACTCCTTCTATCATCATTGGAACATCTTTGAGAATCCCAAGTGGTGTCTTTACTGTCCCATCAGCTATGGTAAGAGACACATTACTCTCTTGAAGTTGAGTGTAGCCAAGAGCCTTAGCAGTAGAGGATGGAAGAAGGTTGATACTTGCTCCAAGATCACAAAGACAGCTCTTAAAGGTCTGCCCTTTAAGCTCAAATGGTAGAGTGAAACAACCTGGATCTCCAAGCATCTTAATGTTAAGCTCCTTAACCTCAGATGCTCCAGCTTTAACTCTTAGCTTATTAAACTCCTCTTGACCATTCAGACCTGTTATTTCCATTTGAGAAGCATAGAGGGTCTCATACTTCTGTATTAGCTGCTCTTTAAATCTTCCTGGAAAATGGATAGTGGGCTGATAGATAGGGAGAACAGCAGCTTGAGTTTTATTCTTGACATCAGAGACTTCAACAAAGTCTTCCCTTGTAGCATCAACAACTTCATGTGGTGCCCACCACTCTTCTTCTTCCAGAGATTCTTCTTGTGCAACTCCATGGTTAGCATCAACTTCCAAAAACTCTAAACCCCCCCCCCCCCCCCCCCCCCCCCCCCCACTCTGAAGTTCAGTGTCCTCAGTGAACAGAGAGAGAAACTCTTCAATGATAGCTTCCTCTTCAGCTGAGAAGCTATCTTCTTCAGTGATCATGGCATTGCAGAACTCCTTTGGGTTAGCTTCTGGTTTTCCAGGAAAGTGTCCTTGAGGTTTTGGACCAGCTATGCCTTTGTTGTTCTCCAGTGTTTTGACTCTTGCAGCCAACCCTTCAAACTTGTTGGTTAGTTCAACATGTACTGAGTCTATTTTGTTATGAACATCAGCAAACCTCTTGTTCAATTCCAAGTTGTTGGTAGTCTGATTCTGAAGCAACTGCTGAACCATTGTCTTGAGCTCGGGATCTTGAGAGCTGGAAGAAGCTTGTGCTGGAGCTTGTGCACTGAATCTTGGAGGGTGATAAGGCACTCTTGGCTCGAAGTTTTTGTTTCTCTACTGAAAACCTTGATTGCTGTAGGGAACAAAAGGTCTTGGAGCAGCTTGTTGTTGTTGTTGTGGTGGGTACACTTGATCTTGTGGATTTGCAATATTGTTGCTTTTGTATGACAAGTTGGGATTAGGTCTGTAGTTCTCATATCCATTGTATCCACCTTGATTACCCAAGTAGTTCATCTCTTCCACTTGGCATGTCTCTTGATCATCAAGCTGAACCATATCACCAACAAAGTGAACTTCTTTATCCTCCCTTAGCAGCATATCCAGCTTCTCATGTAAGGCCTTGATCTCTTTCCTGCTAGACTCCAGTTCATCTTTAGCACTTCTTGGAGCTCTGTCATATTCCTCATTGTAGTTTTCATCAGACTGAGCTAGGTTCTCAACAAGCTCCAATCCTTCATCTACATCCTTTGACAAGAAGTTCCCATTTGATGCAGTGTCCAGAAGAATTCTTATCTTTGGCAAAGCTCCTCTATATAGAGTAGAGAGTAGAGAAGCCTGTGAGAAGCCATGGTGAGGGCATTGCAGTGTGTATCCCTTGAATCTTTCCCAAGCTTAACCAAAGCTTTCATTGTTCCTCTGTGCAAACCCTGAAATCTCATTCCTGAATCTTGCAGTTCTTGAAGTTGAGAAGAACTTTGCTAAGAAGGCTCTCTTGCACTCATACCAACTAGTGATGCTTCCTTGGGACAAGTTCTTCCCCCATTGGTGTGCTTTGTCTCCATGAAAAAAAGGAAACAACCTCAGCTTGAAGCCATCTTCACTCACTCCATTGATCTTTGTTAGTGAGCATAGTCTATCAAAATTATCCAAATGATCTAGAGAATCTTCAAGTGGCAAACCATGGAACTTACTGCCCGCCCTGAACCACTGAAATCAATCCAGACTCGATTTCAAAGTTGTTGTTTTGCACTGCTGGTGGTATGATGCCAGTTCTGTTGTTGTATGCATTTGGTGCATCACCAGCGCCAATGGGTCTTGCTGCTCTTGGAGCTTGTGCAGTGCCTCTTGGTCCTTGCTCTCCTTGTAAGCCTTGAACACCTTGTTGTCCTTGTATACCGTGAGCGCCAGCAGCTCCTTGAGGACCCTGAAATCTGATGTCATCCATAACAGGTTCCTGATTGTTCATCCCAAGTCTCTCACAGTGCTGTGATCTTTCTCTCTGTCTTCTTTCTCTCAGCTCTCTTTCAAGTTGCAAGATGTTGTTCTGATAAGGATGCAGACTCTCAGTGCCTTTAGACCTTAAATGCATGCACCTGAATGAGAGAAACCAAGAGTTGAAACAGAGTTAGTAACCAAATTCAAAAGTAAAACTTGATCTTAAAGCTTTACAAACTTTACAAACTCTAATGATTCAAACAGAAAACCCCAATGGCGACGGCGCCAAATTGATACTAGAGGTTTTATCTCTTTCTCAATCACCCCTGTATTTGAATCAGTTGTAGTATAAGGGTTTTATGTCAATCCAAAAGGGTTTTGTTGAAAGCAAAAGAGTTGCAAGCAGAATTCCTTAAGTCAAGCAAGCAAAGAAGATTTTTGTTGCCTAAGCAACTAAACTAGCAACCTAAAATGATCAATCACCAAAGGAAACTCAAAAGAGACAGTTCAGTAATGATCAAAGAAGTGAAACAGAGCAAATAAACAGAGTACTAAAGCAAATTCGAAATTCAATAAAAGAGAATGCAAGTTCCTAGATGTGGTTATTGATTTTGGGGAATTTAGAAACTAACTAGGGTTGTTTCAAACAGCATTGATCAAGCAAACAAGCTAGCAATGGTGGTTCCTAGACATAGAGTTCACAAACAAGCAAGCTAAGTCCAATCTCTTGGTAAATAGCCTTTTACTAAACACCTTAACAAGAACTAACTCTCATTAGTGCTAAGACATTCAGCAAGCAATAACAATCAACTCTATTCAAGTCAAAATTCTCCTCAAACAGTCAATCTCTTGAGCCAAGGCCAGCAAATCCTCTATCAAACAAGATCAGCGTTTCATCAAACATTTGGTACGCATAAGAGAAAGCTCAAATCCTAGATAAGTGTGATCAAGACAAATCTAGCTTAAAAACAGATCAATAGAGAGGAACCCATGTTATTAAACACTAAATAAACCTTAATCAATCTCTAAATCCCCTTAATCTACCACATCTAAGAACCCTAAGCAAACTACTCACCAATACTCATGTTTAACACCAAATCACAAATCACAAGAGGAAAAGATGTTAATCATGATTAAAAAAGAGATTAGAGAAAGATTAATGGCAAATACAAACTTATATTAAATAAAGCAAGAAATTTGTCTTACAAACTCAGAAAAATAACTTAAGAACAGTGTTATGACATGACTTGTCGAAAATCCCAGAAAAGGGGTATTTATACGTAAAAGAAGGAAGCCCTAAAGTAATGGCAAAAGTGTAATAAAAGACAGGTTCAGACTGGGTTCCTATCGGTCAGTTGTGACCAATAGGGTGATCGATAGGGATCCTATCGTTCTAGAAGATGACCGATAGGGTGACCGAAATCCATATGGTGCACTTCTATCAGTCACTTCTCTGGCCGATAGGTCTGGTCGATAGTCCTTCTATCGGTCACTCCTTGACCGATAGGCCTTGTGTCTTGATCGATAGGCTCCGCAGAGATCGTCTGCCTTGGTCCCTTTTGCTCCTCTTGGCCCAGCTAGCTTCCTGGATCATCCTCAAAGCTTCTCCATGCTCCTTATAGCTCCATAGGTACCTAAAAACATCCATAATGCATAAAAAATGCAAACTATATCCTAAATGCAACATAAGTCTAAAAGGAGAAGAAAATGGGACAAAAGATAGAAACTGGGACAAAAAATGACTATATCCTATCATGTTCCTCGTAGAAACTAAGAACGGTTATGACTATGTGTCTTCTATCGGTAATCGTCTCGGCTATACTCATCATTTTGTTATACTGTCTGATGGATTGAAAGGAGAGTTAGCAGTTTTTTAGTCCGATGAGGTTCATCTACGTTTTCTTCAACCTCCATCGCTGTACCATACTGATATGTATATAACTGATGGCGCTATCACGTTTTGCCTCACCTATGTCTATGGTAATCCAAACAAGCAATGTCGCATTAGTCAATGGCAGCGAATGATTAACCATATGGAAGCCGGTCTTTATCGCAGCAAGCCCCGAGTAGTTATGGGAGATTTCAGTGACATTTCAGGAAATTTTGATAAGATTGGGGATCCCCGGCGAAGTGAATATTTTTTGTGCATTATTTCGGGCTATGTTAAACATCTCTGGCCTTCATGAAATCAAGACCTACGGTGGCAGATTCACCTGGCTTGGACAACGACACCATCATACAGTAAAATCCAAGATTGATCGAGTGGTTGCTACGTCAGACTGGAAGGATTTATATCCCAAGGCTTATGTTAAAGCCTTAGCTTGACAAGATTCTGATCATAAGCCTCTGCTGTTATTTACTGAAGATCATAAATGGAAGGGTCAAAAGCTTTTCAGATATGACAATCGTTGGGCCCATAATCCAAAAGTTCAGCTTGCCTTGGCTAATACCTGGAACTCAGCCTGTAAAGATCTTCCCCTGGAAAAATTCTCCACAGTCCTCTAGAAATGTCGAGCAAGTTTAACAAGGTGAATAGCAACTCATAACTCAAATTCCTCTAAAAAGATTTGTAATCTGCAACACCTCCTCCAGCAGGCTTATAATTCAAATCCTTTGGATTATAACTACATTGGTAATCTTAAATCTAAACTTCTTCATGAATATAGGCTGGAAGAGGAATATTTGCATACCAAGAGCAGAATTCAATGGCTACAAGCTGGAGATCGTAAAACAAGGTACTTTCATGCACAAACTCAACACAGGAGAAGTCATAATCGGATTACAACTATTACAGACATCCACGGACATCTCCTCCACAGTGAGAAAGACATACATAACATAATCCTTAATTATTTTGCTCATGTTTATTCCTCTGAATGCAGTGTACAACCAGGTCAGGAATTTCTTCTCTCAGACATTCAACCTCGGGTCACTTCTGAAATGAATTATCATCTTACTAAACCTGTCTCTGAAGAAGAAATTACAAGAGCCCTCAATCTAATGAATCCAGATAAAGCACCTGGACCTGATGGGCTCAATGCAGGCTTGTACAAACATCATTGGAACATTATCAGTAAAAGTGTGATTAACTTTGTTCAACATTTTTTTATGCACAGCTATCTCGACCTGAATTAAATCACATTAATATCTGTCTTGTTCCAAAAATCCAATCACCTGTTGAGGTTAAGGATTTCAGACCGATCAGTCTTTGCAAAATTGCTTATAAAATTATCTCTAAAATTTTGGCTGAACGGCTCAAGCCTTGGTTGCATGCTATCATTTTGGAAACTCAATCTGGTTTTATTCCTGATCGGTAAATCACTGATAATGTTATTATAACCCATGAACTTCTCCACTTTATGCACACCCGAAAACGAACACAATCTTATATGGCTCTTAAGCTAGATATTGTGAAGGCTTTTGATAAAGTTGAATGGTCTTTTCTTGACTTTATGTTAAGTCTTTGGATTTGCAAATCAATGGCGGCGTTGGATCATGATCTGTGTTACTTCAGTCTCTTATTCTATCCTTATCAATGGTGCTCCAACTGGGTATATTAAACCTACGCGTGGTATTCGACAAGGTGATCCCATTTCCCCTTATCTTTATCTTCTCTGTACAGAGGATCTATCATATATCCTTACAAAACTGGTTCATCAAAAAAAGTTGCATGGTTATCGTGCTAGTCGAGGCAGTCTAGCCATTTCTCATATGTTCTTTGCTGATGATTCTCTTTTACTTTGCAAAGCTGACGAACAGGAATGCCTTTCCTTATTGGATGCCTTGCAATGATATGGACGCATCTCAGGCTAGTTCGTTAATTATCAGAAATCGGCTATTATCTTTCGTAAGCACACGCCTAACTCTTTGCAATATGCTTTACAACATAGTACTGGAATTCCTAAGGTTAGTTCTTTTGGTAAATACCTGGGTCTTCCTGATGTTATTGGACGAAGTAAGAGTGATATCTTTGCTTTTTTAACTCAACGCTTATCACAAAGACTAGACAATTGGTACTCTAAACGTATATCACCCTCTGGCTAAGTGATATATCATGGTTTTTATGGTTTTTAACCATGATATAAGTCCTTTGTATTAAGTCTTTTTGGTCTTTTTAGAGTCCTAGAAGAGTCTTTGCAGGTTATAGCATGTCTGGAGCATAATTGGAGATATTGAAGCTTTTTGGAGCATTGCAAGTTGAAGCCACGAAGTATCCAACTCGGGAAGAAAAGTATGCATATGGGTGCGTCACCAATCTGGTGACGCTCGTCACCAATCTGGTGACGCTCGTCACCCATAAAGGAAGGGGTCGTGGCTGTTTTCTAAAAGATAGAGGATTATTTGCAGTTTTGGCCCAGAAGTTTCAGTATTTGCAAAAAGATCGCAAATCGTGTTTTTGCTTGTATAATAGGTTTCTCAGCCATTCTTTTGGAAGATATCTTGTATCTTATTACTTTAGTGAGCTTGAGAGAGAGATTTGTAGAAGAGCTTTTGGAGAGACAAATCATACTCCTTCAGAGCAGATTTCGAACTCTTTCATCTTTACTTCTTATTTCTTTTAAGCAATTTATTATTTTCATGATGTTTTCTCAAATCACCATGTCTGAGTAGTTTGTTAGTTAAGTTAGGGCTTTTTCAAAGGTTGATGAAGAGTTTGTAGAATTGCTACCTGTTAGGAATATCTTTTGGTTTTTCATCTCTGCTTGCTTTAAAATCGAATTTCTTAGACACATCATCTAGAAATCCGTAAATCATAGGTTGTTAAATATATGTGAGAGCATTATTGATAACATGAACCAGTATTTGATGAGCAAAACAACTTAGTGCAAAGAGATTTGGCTTAGGAGTTTTGTGAACAATGAATCTGATCATATTGCATGTTTAGGTTGTTAGGATTTGCAAAGAGATTTGAAACTCTGTGATTTAAACATAGTTAAATTCTGCAATGAGAATTGATTAGTTATATATTTGATATTCGTGTTCAAAACGGTTCTTAACAATTCCTGATTTCATGCATTCTACATTCTCGGATTCAACCTGCGAACTGTCCTGACTTAGTGCTTTTAGTCTTCTAAAATTTAGATCAACAACTTGAATTTCGTTTGCTTACTTTTATTTAATCATTCACATTACATACATTAAATTTTGCTTAGCTTAATCCAAACCTACATTCGATAGTGTAGTTTGCATTACTCTCTTGGGATTCAATACTCCTTGTACTACAACTGCTTTTGCTGTGCACTTGCAGTAGTTTTATTTGGGTAAAACCTGAGCCTTATCACAAAGAAGTGCTGATCAAAACTGTAGCTACTGCTTTTACCTACTTACTGTATGTCCTGATTTTTGCTTCCCCATAAAGTACTAAATTCACTGAATGCATCTATACGTCATTTCTAGTGGTTTTCCAGTAAGGAACGAAACAATATTTCCGGGATAGCATGGGATAAAATCAGCAATCCAAAGAATTTTGGCGGCCTAGGGATTAAAGATTTGCATGATTTTAATCTTGCCCTTATTGCCAAGCAATCTTGGAGGATCCTCCGCTGTCCAAATTCTTTACTGGCTAAAATTATGCTGGCAAAATATTTTCCTCGTGCGTCTCTTCTCGAAGCCACCTTGGGGAGTCGTCCAAGTACTATTTGGCGTAGTATTCTTCAAGGTAATGAACTCATATCTAGAGGATTGCATTTGATTGTGGGGAGTGGACAGCAGATTCGAATCTGGAAGGATAACTGGCTCCCTCTCGTCCCATCTACACCAGCTCGACCAGTTAATCCACTTTGTATTTCGAATCTTAAAGTATCTGATCTCATTATTTCAGGTACGTCTCACAACTCAAAGCTTTGCCAACTATTAGATCCTACTGACATTCCTTTCATTCTGCAAATACGTCCTAGTCTTACAAATTGCGAGGATTCTGTTAGCTGGATCTACACTAAGGATGGGCCCTACTCTGTTAAGTCAGGCTACAATTTGCTCAGGGCAAATCATATCGCTGCGCCTGACCAAGATTATCAGCTTCATAACCGTGTTTAGAGTCTCTCTCTTCCCCCAAAATTGAAGCACTTTTGGTGGAAAGGCCTTCATGACACTATCCCAGTAACGGATGCCCTTCATAGGGGAAGAATTAAACTATATATCAATTGTATTATCTGTGGAGAGAAGGATGAAACGTTGAATCATCTCCTTTTTCAATGTTGGGTAGCCAAGGAAATATGGGATCTTTCTCCAGTCGTCACACCCTCAGGTACACAAATGCTCTCAAACTCCTTTACACAAAATTTTGAGAGTCTCATGATGGCAAATGCGTCATCAAGAAAACTTTCTCATTTATTCCTTTTTATCGGCTGGCAAATCTGGAAAATGGAAAATGACTTGTTCTGTAATCATCGAAAGTGGTCGATTCCAGATTCCATATAGATATCCATTATGCATTATAATATATGGTCTTAGTCACAATCTTCAGAAGCTGACTACCAACGATATTTGCATAATACCTCTCCTTCTAATAATCATATGCAGCCTCATCAGGGCTCACTCACTACACTGAGCCCCACTGATTATTTCTGTTATGTAGATGGATCATGGGCACAAGTAGATCAGAAGGCAGGTATAAGTTGGATCCTGTGTAACGCTCAAGGTCATCATCTTATCAAATGATCTGCATTTGTTGATCCGGTCTCCAGTCCTTTGGAAACTGAAAACACTGGCTCTCCGTGATGCTGTAAGTCGTCTAGCCTCCATAAATTATCAAAGTGTTACATTTATGGGTGACTGGAAATCTCTTTACGCCCATGTGAATCAGAGATTGCGAAAGCAGCCTGTTATTCATAGGCTTCCTCAATCTTTATTCTCTTATATTGAGGATATTCTCTGTTTCATAAAACATCGACCACACTTTATGTTCCAGGCTATTCCCCGACTGCGTAATATGCCCGCCGACCTCTTAGCAAAGCAAGCCCGGATGAAGAATCAAGGTTATAAAATTACATGGGTTTAAACTTTTGGTTATACTTCAAGAAAGCTGTTTTCTCTACTCTGTTTTACTATCTCTCTTTATTGTCAATATCTTTTTTTACTATGTTTTCTTCACAGTTGGTTCAACTATGTACCAATCATACTTTCTTGTATTTTCCTAATAAATATCATAGTTTGCCGACAAAAAAAAAGTAAAAATAAAAATCCACTAGATGGTATTGATACAACATTATAACTTTGTTAAATAATAATAACTCGGGCTGTGATTGAAAGTTAAAATTTGAATTACACTAATGCTTTTATTGAATATAACATCTAAGTTGTTAAATATCATAACTATATTTTTTTAATTATAAATTAGTTAAGAATTACAATTCTATCCTTTCAGCATACACAACAGGATTCTATATAAAAAAAGTTATATTGTACAATCTTAGGAAAATTATAATTTTATTTCTTTTTCTATTATGAAATAATAGGAAAAATATAATATTAATTTTGTATCTAAGGATAGACACAACTATATCTTACGATAGCCATAAATATACAATATCGTCTCAAAACCCTACTTTATTTTTGGGGGATTTGCTGAAATTGACTCAAAACTTGAGTTGAAATGTAAAACTAAACCTCTTATTGCATGTTTGACAAAACTAACTCACATGGATAGTAAAATTGCAATATTAACCCTTCTGACTAAACAAAAAAACGCCAGCCGCAATTACTATTTTATCCCCGAGAACTCGAGTAGACTTCCTGGTATAATAATTTGTTTACAATTAATTTTAAAAATCATGAAAAATAATTTGATAAAAAATATTAGATACATAACATAAATATATATTTTTTCACCTATTAAAAATAAAATTTGATACAAAATAATCAGTTTAAATCATCATAGATAAATTAGGTTAGAAATGAATATTAAGTAGACTTCTCGGGTTCTTGAGTAGACTTCTCAAGGGTAGACTTCTCCAAGAAGTTTACTCTCTAATAATTTCTATACTATTAATTAAAAAATCATGAAAAATAATTTGGTAAAAAAAATTATCAACATAACAAAAACATATACTTTTTACACATATTAAAAATGAAATTTGATACAAAATAATAAATATAAATCATCGTAGATAAATTATGTTAGAAATCAATACTAAGTAAACTTTTCGGGTTCTCAAGTAGACTTCTCCAAGAAGTGGAGAAGTCTACTCTCTAATAATTTCTTTACCATTAATTAAAAAAATTATAAAAAATAATTTGGTAAAAACATTATATACACAACTAGAACACATCCATTTAGCATCTATATATAAAAAAAATCATGAAAATGAATCAATTTATAAGTTTCATAAGTATACAACTCAAAAAGCTTAAGGTTGAGGTTTAGGATTTAGGGTATAAGAGTGTAATTCTTAGGATTTGCATAATTTCTATATGAATCATAGTTTATGGTTCAGTTAATGAATCCTGGTTCATATATTTTTTATTTTAACTATGAGTTGTCAATATGGTAAGTAAATTAATGTTTTCATATAAGTTTTAATCAAAAACTTTGATTTAGGGTTTAGGCTTAAGTAGACTTCGCAGACCTAAGTAGACTTCTCGAGAGTAGACTTCTCTTACCGAATTATACTCTCAAAAGTAGACTTCTTTGACCAGTTAAGTGCCCGAGTAAAATAAAAACACTCTGACTGAACCGAAAAATTTTACTAACCCATTATTAAACCGGCCTATATATTCAATTTTACCACAAAGAGCAGCATTTACTTTTTATTGCACAAACCCTAGTTTCTCTCAACTCGTAACCAAGCGTTTGGGCGATTTGGTCGCCATTTCTGTCGCCGTTCCTACCGTCCTCGCCGCCGCTGCTTCAACTCGTCACCACCGTTTGTAAATTGTCAACAAAGGTAATCTATGTTCCTCTCTCTCAGTTCTCTCACTTCTGTATATCTCTTTATCTGTATATAGATCTTAATCGATTTCGTTCATCTCTTTTCATCGTCGCCTATGTTGCCTTGTCGCCTCGTCGTCCCTCGTTACTGCTGGTAATTATGTCTCATTTCTCTTTGTCCAGGCATCTGTTAGATTCAATTTTTTTCTCTAGATATCATCGCCGCCACTAATTTAGAATTTTTTTGTTTGGATTTTACAGATGTCGACGACGCTGTTGGTTGTCTCCGCCGGATTTCAGTGTTCGCAAAGGTAATTTATGTAACTAGTGATTTATTTTAGAATTCGTGTCAGACTTCTCTTTCGAGTAGACTTCTCGGAGAAAAGTAGACTTCTCGGAGAAAAGTAGACTTCTCGTGAAGAGTAGACTTCTTTCTGAACTAGACTTCTGGTTTTTGCTAATAATTATATAATTCTTGCCATATTTATGTCGTCTTTGGGTCTGCAGGATGGAGAAGCAGCCCAAGATTCCAAGGAGATTATTCACAAAGGGCGAGGAGCCCCAACCTGGAAAAAGTATAGCCTACTACAGTAACAATAGGAAGTTGTTTCCTGCATTAGAAGCAATACTGGAAGAAGATATATGGGAAGAGCTTTAGGAATCAAGGCTTGGTGTTTTTCTACAGTTTTACAAAACTGAATTTTGGCTGGGCGTCGAGGGTGGTGCAGTTTTATACTCGGTTTTCAGCTGGACTGCAAGAAGAAGTATGAGATATGGAGTTTCATAAATGCAACCCCACTACAGTTTTCACTTAACGAGTTTGAACAACTCACCGGTCTCAACTGCGAGAATGTTGAGGAACCGTAGGAAGCAGAAGTTACTCCTGAGATGAAATATTTCTGGGAGAAGCTGGGCGTTAGTATAGATGTTGGCGCCCCACCGTTGACGAGGTTACTGAAGCATGTAAGCGTGCTGGGGAGCGGACAAGGGATGAGAAGCTTAGGTTAGGATATTTATCCATCTTCGCTGGATTTATTGAGGGCAAAGAAGAGAGAATCACCCACACATGTTGAACTATGCAGGCTAGTCATGGATGTCGAGGCATTTACAAATTACCCCTGGGGAAGAGTGGCTTTCAAGACCCTCATAGAGTATGTCAAAAGAACGGATTTGACGAAGACTGTTATTCTTTATGGGTTTGCTGAAGTGCTCCAAGTTTGGGCGTATTATTCTATGCCAGATTTCGGGAGGCATTACGGAAATCCCTTTCCCAACAACCCAACTCCACTGGTGCTGGCTTTCAGCGGTTGCCGAGGACGAAAATACATCAAAGAAGCTATGCTGAAACAGGTAATCCCAAACTATATTTGCTTCTCGAGTAGACTTCTCTTGAGTAGACTTCTCTTCGAGTAGACTTCTCTTCGACTAGACTTCTCCTCGAGTAGACTTCTCCTCGAGTAGACTTCTCCTCGAGTAGACTTCTCCTCGAGTAGACTTCTCTTCGAGTAGACTTCTCCTCGAGTAGACTTCTCCTCTAGTAGACTTCTCCTCGAGTATACTTCTCCTCGAGTAGACTTCTCCTCGAGTAGACTTCTCTTCGTATAGACTTCTCTTCGAGTAGACTTCTCTTCGAGTAGACTTCTCTCCGAGTTAGACTTCTCTTCGAGTAGACTTCTCCTCGAGTAGACTTCTTCTCGAGTAGATTTCTCCTCAAGTATAATTCTTTGCGTAGACCTCTGTAACATATCCCAATTGTTTGGCAGGTTAGGCTTCAACAACTTTGCTGTCAAGGAACAGGAGGAAATGTTCCCTACCTGGGATGATGAGGTAGATGATGTCCTTACTGACAACGTTGTCAAAGCTATATTTGGGGAGTTTGGTGGTTGTGGTTAGAAGTGGAAGCCCTAGTGATTGGCGGTCCAAAGGGGTTAAGAAGTTAGAGGCCACAAAGGGGCAAAATAAGGAAAGTTAAAGATGATGAAAGCCGTGTTGACCCAGACGATGAGAGCATGAAGAAGACTTGTCGCAGTGCCTCCTACTGCCATATAAGAGGAGGGTTTGAAGAATCTGGCCGAGGCGATGAGACAACATTTCTCAGAATATTGTCAAAACATTGTCTGGAGAAATTGAGGTGGGTTGGGTTTGAGGCCTTCGATACAGAGTTTGA